ATTTCATTTCCCACCAACTCAGACACTGGGCTCTTTTTTTTTTTTTTTAATGTTTATTTCTTTATTTTGACAGAGAGAGAGAAAGAGAGTGAGCAGAGGATGAGCAGAGAGAGAGACAGAGAATCCCAAGCAGACTCTACACTATCCATGCAGAGTGTGACGTTGGGCTCAGACACACAAACTGTGAGATTGTGACCTGAACTGAAATCAGGAGTCGGACAGTTAACTGAGCCACCCAGGCACCCCTCTTTTTTTTTTTTTAATTGTGTGATTCAAAGTGGGGCTAGGGAGGTCATGAGAAAGGAAGTGACAGAGGTTGAGCACCTGCCTGGTCCCTTATATATGACATCTCATTTCATCTTCACAGCAACCTAAAATGTAGAAACTATAATTCCCATTTTATAGATGAAGGAACTGAAGTCCAGAGGTCATTTAAAAGTCAAACAGTTGACAGGTAGGTGGTGGAGCCAGAATCTCATCGACACCTCACTCTCAAATCCACGTTCTCTACCCAATGGGCTTGACTAGATCACACAGAAACATGGGTCTTTGGTTTATTTGCATTCCTTGTGATATTTTAGGACTATCCCCTAACCCCACAAACATGCTGAAATTCTGGCTATTTTCACATGCCCATTTACTGCAGGGTACACTTAACATCAGAAAAGGGCAAGTAACTCTCTCAAGTCTTTGCTGTGACCAAATCTGAACTCACTCTACCTGATGTCCGCCTGCTTCATCAGACTGTAATCTCCATAATAGTAAAGATCATGTTTATCTTATTCATCATGTTAGCCCTCCCTAGTGTCTACCACAGGGTCTGCTACATGGTAGGTACTCAATATGTGTTGACTGAATGAATAACGACAGAAAGAGAAGACTCCATAAAACAAGATAAGAGAATGTGAGACAAACATTTAAAAGGCCATCATTTAATTTAAAGGAGAAAAGAGGTAGCTAGGAAGAGTATGAGAGACAGCAAGATAAGAAAACTCAGCACAAACAAGCAAGATAAAAATAGCCTCTTGCCACTGTCCTTTTAAAATTACTTTCTATATTTGAGCCTAAGTGACAAGTGAAATCTCCTCTGTAATTTCCCATGTGTTCAGCTTAATGAATTTCTGGCAAATGGTTTCAGCATCGGAAGGCCAATTTGGACATTGTGGGGGTGGAGTTGGTGAGAAAATGAAGGGTATGGAAATAGACTAATTGAGTCTAGAAACCAAATAGAGAGGTGATTGGAGGCATGTGAGGGGGGAGCCAAATCTTGGAACTAGCTGAACATCAAGAAGGACTGGGAATTGGTCTTGCTCTAGCTGATGTCATTGTGATGCTACAGGAGTCCAGAATCCCTAGATGGCCTTGAAATGATTCTTTGTGTCACACTGCCTATCTTCTAAAGAGCTTTATGCATATATCATACAAGTCACCCATTTCAAATACAGAATTCAATGGTTATTACACTCACGGATAAGTGTAACCATCACAATTTGAGAATGTTTGATCATCACCTCAAAAATAAACCTATAAACTTTTGCTGTCACCCCCCTTTTATTTTTTTAATGTTTATTTATTTTGAGAGAGAGGGAGCGAGCATGGGTGCGTGCATGAGCAGGGGAGGAGCAGAGAGGAGGAGAGAGAGAATCCCAAGGAGGCTCTGCACTCTGAGCTCCATCTCACAAACCAAGAGGTCATGCACGACCTGAGCCAAAATCAAGACTCAGATGCTCAACCTAGTGACCCACCCTGGTGCCTCAACCCTCCTCCCCTTTATTTATTTTCTCTCTATATAGATTTTCCTGTTCTGGAGTTTGATATGAACGGAATCAAACAATATGCGGTCTGGCTTCTTTAACTTAATGTAACATTTTCAAGGTTCATTCATGTTGTAGCATGAATTAGTACTTCATTCCTTTTTTTGACCAAATAATATTCCACAGTTTTAGCCACTATAAATAATGCTGCTATGAAAATTTGTGTACCAGTTTTTGTATGGACATACATTTTCATTTTCTTGGTTATATACATCTAGTAAGGGTAGAATTGCTGAATCATAAAGTAACTCTATGTTCAATCATTTGAGGAACTGCCAGACTATTTTTGAAAGCAGCTGCACCATTTTACATTCCCACCAGCAACGTATGATGATTCCAATTTCTCTATATCCTTGCCAATCCAACTACGCTTTTGAGAAATAACAAGGACAACTGCAGGGCTCCATTCTGATCTAAATACCTATTACAGGGGAGCCTGGGTGGCTTAGTCGGTTAGGCATCCGACTTATGCTTGGGTCATGATCTCGCGTTCGTGGGTTCGAGCCCCACGTCGGGCTCTGTGCCTACTGCCAGCTCAGAGCCTGGAGCCTGTTTCAGAGTCTGTGATTCCCTCTCTCTCTGACCCTCCCCTGCTCATGCTGTCTCTCTCTCTCTCCTAGAAATAAATAAAAACATTAAAAAAAATTAAATACCTATTACAGAGATGGGCATGGAGGAGGGCACTTGTGGGGATGAACACTGGGTGTTATATGGAAACCAACTTGACAATAAACTATTTGTAAAAAAAAATAATAATAAATAAATAAATAAATAAATAAATAAAATACCTATTACAGAGAAGCAGCAAGAGGAGTAGAGTCCAGGGATGGAAGAGAGATCCCTCTTCTACGGTAAACTCTTAGGATAATCCAGAGGGAATGCTGCCATCTCTAGTACTCTGACTCTCAGGGCTAGGTTAACTGTCTTCTGACATCTGCCCAAGGATACGTATACCACATGTCTCTTTTCCCCACGAGATAGTAAGCTTTAGGCAGGCAGAGATCTCTAGTGCTCTGACTTTATCTGCAGTACCTGAATAGGGTCTGGCAAATGGCAGGTGCTCAGTAAATGCTGATTGGTTGACTAACTGAATAAATGATTAAACATTTCTCTACTGGTGGTTCCTGTCCAGGGAGGAGAGGAAAGGCTCAATCTCAGGGGCAAAAGGCTTTAAGAAGGCAAGCAAGGAAAGAATAGATGGAGGAGAAAGGGAAAGTCACACAAGAAATTTGGGGACCTAGTGTCCCTTAGGGCCAACCTTTCCAATTATGAGGTCAAACTCAGAGCTAACAGACCTACCCTAATCCTTTTTTTTGCCTTTCATCTGGCTGCATTTTTTCCTAGAAAGTTTCCTTTTTTTGTTTTATTATTTCTAACAAGTTGTCTTTGCAGGAATAAGAAAGTAGAAAAGTAGTTGCTATTACAGGTAAAAGAGCACATAAATCAACTCACCAAAATGACTTCAGAATTTAAAAGGCTGGAGTTTAGAAAGGTTGACTATGAAGGATTTTTTAACTAAGAAATGCAGAAACCATAATCGAGGTTTTCCTCCATATCACACTGAAAGCCCTATATCTAAAAAAGATGACTACATTTTCAATGACATAACGACATGACCCACCACTCAGCCTTATTCATGATGGCTGGCCTTCCTTCCACACAAATCCTGCCTCCTACCTGACTAATCTGTGTCTGGTAGTCACCAGGCCATTGGTCCCTGTCTCCCCAAAGGCCCTGCATCTGTCTAGCCTCAATCACTTCCTGTCTCTTCTCTGAAAGCACACATGCACATATTCACACAAACCTCATCTTTCCTTTTCATGAATCCTCAGGATAGGTCTCCTCCATTTTGTGTGTTTGGAAGAAAAGAAAGCAAAATATATGAGATGCCAATGCAATTTCTCCTTTAGCAGAGCTTCACAGGACAATTACCCACCCAATCTGCAGGGTTTTATAGCTCTCATAACCCTCCTTTATGAACACACTGTGACAGCCGGATGCGGGCATTGATTATGGCAGCAGTCTTCAGCCACATTTCTATTTAACTACAAAGCAGAGCCCCTGCCTACCAGCTCAACACTGCTCATGTGCCTTTTTTTAATTACTGTATTTATGTAAGCCTTTTTCCAACCAGAGCCTGTCTCCAACTCCATCAAAACTCGAGGATTTGTGCTTGCCACTTCTCCAGTCTCTCTCTGGCCTTAGTCTAGTGTCTTTAGCGGGAATCAATTTAGCACTCACTCTAGCCTTTCTCAGCAGAGGTCTGTGAGGGTTGGGGAGCATAGGAAGCACATTTTTTTTTCATTGTGATAGCTGGGAGAAGATAATAAGACACATTGGCAGATGCCAAGGGCAGTGGCTGATTCCTAGGGGCTTGCCTGGCAAAGGTGTCAGGTGCAATAGATGAGCAGATCTGGTAGGATGCCGTGGGGTCAAGGAAAGGGAGGGGCTCCAGCTTTACCCACCATTCAGCAGGACATAATTGTATTGACTCCAGCTAATCGAGAAAGGAAGTTTTCGTATTTAAAAGAAATGCTGGTAACCCAGTGGGCAATCTGTCCACACTGAAGATGTGGCCTCTTAGGCTGATTGTGCCACAGTACAAGGTAATCCCGGCAAGGAAGCCAGTATTCTTTAACTACTGCAAGTCAGGGAAGGATTCTACTGAAGGGCACCAGGGATGCTGTCCCACGCGGTTAGGCTATAGGAGGGCCAGGAATAATTTATCCGAAAATCTCCTGGAGAGAACCGAAAACCAAGGTGACCTGATGGACGAGCCATCAGCCGAAATACGACCCTACTAGAGAAAGGCAGAAAAAAGATCTGTTTGGGAGGTGGAAAGAGCTTATGCTACACTTGCAGGAACCGAAAGGTGCCACACTTGTGAGGTGAACCGACACTCGGTATGGGCAGGCAGAAAGCACGCCCCCCGCCCCCCAGGACACACCAGGTTTTGTCTTTAACACCTCCAAACCCAGCGCCCCCTTCCATCCGTTAATAACAAACGAAGTGGTAGTCAAATAAATGTAGTCCTAATTGGGATTTCTACCCTTTCTATGATGGGATTCTAGCTTCTATAAGGAGTATGCTCACCTCTGCCACCGCTCCCGCATTTTTCTAACCGGGCCTTTTCTGGGCGGGGCTTCTGGGCCCCGCCCACTAAGGGCCTGCTCAGTGTCCGCCCCGAGGCGGGGCTCCCCTCGGCTTCAGGCTGTCCTTTCCCCTGCGGCCTCTGCTCTGGCTGGAGTACGCGGGCCGAGCTCCAGACACGTGCGGGTAAGTAAAGGCCAAGTGGGGAGAAGCCTGGAAGGTTTACTAGTGTGCGGCGAAAGGCAGCTGTGGGGAGGCTTCTTCCGAGGCACGGGACGAAACTGGGGTTCGTTCCACCATGACCCCAGGTTTGGAGGGCATCTTGAAGAGTCGCTGGGAGATGGTAGCCCTAGAGTCTCCCCCTGTTTTCTGCCAGCCTTTTTGTCCCTGGAGTCTCCTAGAGCTGGTCTCAGAGAGGCTCGCTTCCCAGGCGCCCGGCGCCAGAGCGAGCCAGGGGCTTGGGAAGATTTGTGATGAACACGTGTCCGGGTGGAGCTCGGTCAGGTCCTGCAACCCATTGCCCTAAAAGGGGCAGGCTGTTTTTAGATTAGTTTTTAGACCTGGACAATGAGCCCCCTCTATTTTACCTTTTCTCTCAATTGTTTGGGGATGGTTAAGAGTGAAATTAGAGGATGGAAAAACGTATGATCTTAGATATCCTAATCTTATTATGTAAATAAGGTAAATTACAATGGTGAATGGTTAGGAATGTTTATTAACATTCTTGCAAACATTTCAGTTACTGCTTTCAACAACAGTTGAGGTCGTTAGTAGGAATGGCAGTGTGTCTCCATTTCCTTTCATACCCATTATCACATCCTGTTATTTTTCTAAAGTACTGCTTTTATTGTTCTTCAAAAGGTCTCCGAATCCGTGTTTTCTCCAATCTAGTTTTAACTAGCCTTTTTGACTTGCATTGACCATTGCTCTACCAAGGTAACATTTCCCCTTTTACTCCTCCTATTCATCATCTCCTTGTCTGGAAAGTAGCTTTCGATAACGGCAAGTATTTATTGACCAGACACTCTAAACCAGTTATTCTATAAGCTAAATTTGCAGTCTGCTTAAGCCTAACAACCATCCTGTGTACAAAGTACTGTTAATAACATTCCTATTCTACAGATGAGGAAACTGAGAGATTTAGAGAGGTTAAGTTACTTGTTCAATTTTTTATTTTATTTTTTAATGTTTGTTTAATTTTGAGACAAAGAGACAAAGTGCGAGCAGGAGAGGGGCAGAGAGAGAAGGAGACAACAGAATCCAAGGCAGGCTCCAGGCTCTGAACTGTCAGCACAGTTAAAATGCAGGGCATGGGGCGCCTGGGTGGCTTAGTCGGTTAAGCGTCCAACTTTCGCTTAGGTCGTGATCTCGCGGTTCGTGGGTTCGAGCCCCGCGTCGGGCTCTGTGCTGACTGCCAGCTCAGAGCCTGGAGCCTGTTTCAGTCTGTGACTCCCTCTCTCTGACCCTCCCCTGTTCACGCTGTCTCTCTCTCTCTCCTAGAAATAAATAAAATATAAAAAAAATTTAAAAATAAAATAAAATAAAATGCAGGGCTTGAACTCACAGGTTAGGAGATGATGACCTGAGGGGGAATCAGATGCTTAACCTAAGACTGAGCCATCCAGGCATCCCACTTGTTTGTTCACTGTTACGTAGTTGTTAGGTGATAGCTTATACTTGTTGACTAGACCTTTAGTTTGCTCCTGTTGAGGGGTGCCTGGCTGGCTCAGGTGTTAGAGCACACAATTCTTGATCTCAGGGTTGGAAATTTGAGCCCCACACCCCTTTAGGTATAGGTTATATAAATTTAAATCTTTTTTAGGGTCTCCTGGGTGGCTCAGTCAGCTAAGAATCTGACACTTGGTTTCTGCTCAGGTCATGATCTCACTGTTCGTGAGTTGGTCCCGCATTGGGTTCCGTGCAGACAGTGCGGTGCTGCTTGAGATTCTCTCTCTGCCCCACCCCAGTTTGAGCTCTCTCAAAATAAGGAAATAAAACTTAAAAAAAAAAAAAACTTTATGGGCGCCTGGGTGGCCCAGTCGGTTAAGCATCCGACTTCGGCTCATGTCATGATCTCCTGGTTCGTGGGTTCGAGCCCAGCGTCAGGCTCTGTGCTAACAGTTAGCTCAGAGCCTGGAGCCTGTTTCAGATTGTGTGTCTCCCTATCTCTCTGACTAAGTCTGTCTCTCTCTCTCTCAGAAATAAATAAAACATTTTTAAAAAATCTTTTAAAAAATGCTCCCCTTGAGTTGCTGTGGTACATAGGTAAAGCATGTGAAAATAAAACAAACCAAAGAAAAGGTTTCGGTTTTATTGTCTGCTCTATTTCTGTGGCTCTGAAATAAGTTATGGGGTTTTGGGGGTAGAGGTCTTGAACTTGACACAAGTGTTCACTACTGTTGGCTGACTGTAACCTGGAGTACTTTGATTGCAGAGAGGCCAGCCCGTGGGCCTTGGACAGATGCAGCCCCAGGTGAGTGCAATTTCATTAGGCTGCCTTTGGCCCCAGCTGTAGGCAGCTGCCTAGGTTGCTGTGTACCTAGGCAAGTGTTACACTGCTGGGAGAACAGCAGCCGCGATAGCTGGTTGGCATTCTGGGCCTGGTTCATGCCAATTCTGTTGTTAACTCTACCAGGATGCCAGCATAATTGTTTATTCATTAAGGTGAAATTTGTAAGGGCATGACCAAAACTCCAAATCTTTCTGAGTGGTTCTGGTTGAACAGGTTTGGTTAGTTCAAGTTGCTGGAAACAGAACAAAGGTAATCAAGCCATTAAGGGATGTATTAGTAGAGGGGGAAAGTCAGCTTTTTAAATTTTTTGAGCTCCAAATGAGGCTTATATGGGGGAAAAGTGCATGGGATTTTTGCAATTTTCACCGAAATCAAAGTGCATGGCCCCCGCTCCACCATACAGAGCTAGTCGCAGTGATCCCTCTGTAGGGAGTTCCATAGCTGTTGTTATCTATAGGGATGCCTTAGTAGAGAAATGTTGATATGAATTTGCTTTAAAATTGTATGCATTCTTCTCTAGCTCTTTAATAAAATATAAAAATGCCAATTGATTGAGAGGCTCTAGACAGTAGGCCTAGCTATAACCATACTAATTTCTGCTTTAGGCTGACAGTATATCTGTGTTGGTTTCCCACAGAGTTGTTCCCTCTTCAGAGCAGTAAATAATGAGTCCCTTTTGTAGTGATTTTGTTTTGGATTGCTAATTCTCTGAGAAGAGCTGCTTCTCCATTCTAGGCAAACACATCACTCATGGTGATGCTGGAGATTGTCCAATAGGGCTGACTTAGTTTCCACTTCTGTGAAAAGTGACATCCTGGTTTCCATAGGAGGAACTTCTGCGGATGCTGGGAGGTTGGGGAGTTATTTATAAAAACTAGTTTTGTTCCATCAATTGGCTTTCCCTAAAAAGAGTTCTCTTAGTTAAATATTGAGTGCCTTGTATGAATACCTCAGATGTTCATTGTGAACAGCCTTTTACATATGGGGTCTTAAGACTAGTGAACCTAGAGGGTTTGGGAGAATGGTTAGCTTTAATGGTAATTATAGGCAAGACAAAGACAATGGGAAATAATTCTGGAGGATATTGAAAATAGGGTAAATCATAAATGGCAGGCAGTACTGCTTCCATTTCTACAGAAAAGCAGTTCTAGGAGCTGCTGTTTTAGTCCAGGGTGTTGAACAGTGAAATCTTTTTCTGTTTAGGATGACTTGAAAGTAGGGCATCCTTGGCCCTCCTGAAGAGAGGAAATTTATGGCAGGTGGACCGTCTGTCCGGCATTCTCAGGTAAATGTCCCTATTAATTCCAACACTGACTACCTCCTATGTGGCAGGCCTGTTTGTTAGTTGGTATCCATTAGGAAACAATTGGGAGGCAAAATCACCTGTATTTACCCCCAACAAAGTCAGCCTCTGAGCAGTGAAAGGCTAAGTGGGATTTTGGTGGTTCTGGTCTGAAGGTGTATAGGATCTTTGAGATTATGTATGTTCCAACCTAGGAATTTACAAGCAGACTGGAAAATATAGGATAGAAAAGATGGCATGTCTTGCCTGTTCACAGATAGATCCCAAGCATGGTTGGTGCCTGGCACATAGTAGGAACTCCCTGAATGTTGGACAAAATGACTGAAGGCATGAGTAAGGGGTTCCTGTTACCTATTTGTCAAAAGGGTTTGGCAGCAAGGTCTGCTATCAGTGCTTCCAGGCTTCTGTTTTGCCGTCAACATTGAATTCATGGGGAGACCTATATCCATATCTTCTATTTGGGGTGCCTGGGTATCTGAAACAAAGAAAGCTGTTTAAAGAATCATCCAGCGGTTGTCAGCTATCCAGGCCAATGTGATGCCTTGGATGGTGTTACACTGTTGGAAGAGCACACGCTACCCTTCTTGAGTTCTGGCTCCAAGCACTGTTTTGGTGTTGTGGCCTAGTGCTCTTGGGCAGTGTTTTGCACCTCTGAGAGTGGAGTAACTCCTTCTGTGGAGTTGGTCCTAGTCTCGGTGCAAACAATTTTTTTTCCTTTGAGGAAGAAACTCTGTCTTAGGGATAGTTTTTCATTCCTTTCCTCTTTGAATCCTAGATGCCTTTACCTGAGTGAGAAATCTGCCTCCATCAGAACCTTCAGATGTCTGACAGCCCAGACCTATGTGACACCGGGATAGGTAATATACACAGTCCTTTTGCCATGTAGGTTCTAATTAACTTGTTTCAGCCTCAGATGCAGTGGTGTGAAAAAATAGAAAATATATATTTTGGCCTCTGCTCCCATTCTTGGCACAAAGCACTTAAAACTCTTTAAATTTATGCTAGGAGCATCTTTTGTTCTAAAATTTGGTCTTTCATGCTGGTGCCTGACTCTGAGCTCCTAAATCCAACAATTTCCTGGGTGATTTAAGTGTTTTGTTCTAATGAGGCTGGTCACTAGAAAGACCAGGCAATGATGAGAAGCTTGGAGTTTTCAACCCCAAGTCCATTCTTCAGAAAGGGGAAAGGGGCTGCAGATGGAATTAATAACTGATTATTCCCACATGATGAAACCTCCATAAAAATCCCAGTAGTATGACTGGGTTTAGAGAACTTCAAGGTTGGTGAACACATGGAGGTGCTGGGAGAGTAGCACACCCAGAGAGGATATGGAAGTTCAGCGACCCTTTCCACATAGCCTTGCTCTATTCATGTCCCATCTGGATGTTTATGAAACATTTTTTTTAAATGTTTATTTTAGAGAAAGAGAGTGTAAGCAGGGGAGAACAGATGATCCACAGTGGGCTCCGCATGGAAAGCAGAGAGCTCAATGTGGGGATGGAACTCTTGAACTGCAAGATCATGACCTGAGCTGAAGTCAGATGCTTAACCGACTAAGCCACTCCAGCGCCCCGACCATATCCTTTTAAAATAAATTGGTAAATCATAAGCAAACTGTTTTCCTGAGTTCTGAGAGCTACTACTGCAAATTTATCAAACCTGAGGAGGGGTTTTGGGGAACCTCTGATTTATATTGGTCAGAAGTATAGGTGACAACCTGGACTTGTGACTGGCATCTGAAGTGAGGGAGGGACATTCTTGGACTATGCCCTTAACCTGTGGGATCTGATGATACTCGGTGTATATATAGAGTCAAAAGTGAGCTAAACTGTAGGATGCCCAGCTGGTGGCACAGATTTGCTTGGTGTGGGGGGAAATCCACACACATCTGGTGTCAGAAATATTGAGAGGGTGGTGGTACTGTGATAGTAAAGGAAAACTATAAAGTGAGGTTTTCTTGGGGGCACCTGGCTGGTTCAGTAGGGAGGGCATGTAATTCTTGATCTCAGGGTCATGAGTTTAAGCCCCATGTTAGGTATAGAGCTTAAATAACAAAGAGAAAAAATTTGTAAAAAGTGGTGTTCTCTTTACAGGAAAAACTTTAGAGTTCTAAAAATTATGGGGAATATGAGAACATTAGAGAAGAATATTAGATCGAAAGTCCAAGGCTTAAATTAAGCTCTCGTTTTCTAGAGCTCTACAGTACAATACATAAGGCTATTTCAACTGACAAAAATTAAATCTTTTTCCATCTCAGTGTTTAGTGACTACCATACTGAACAGCTCAGAGAACATTTCCACCAGTGTGGAAAATTTTATTATACGCTGCTGTTCTAGAGCAGGGGTTGGCAAACTTGTAAAAGGCCAGATAATATTTTAGGCTTGTGCACCTTATAGTCTCTCTTGTACCTACTATGAAAGTTATGGCTAGTTAGTATGAAAGTAGCCCCAGCATAGAAAGGGAGTCAACAAATGAACATTACTGTGCCCCACTAAAACTTTATTTTTTTTTATTTTTTTCCTTAAATAGTTAATTGTCAAGTTGCTTTACATATAACACCCAGTGCTTATCTGAACAAGTGCCCTCTTCCATGCCCATCACCCAGTAAAACTTTATATATTTTTAAGTTTATTTTATTTATTTTGAGAGCAAGAGAGCAGGGGAGGGGCAGAGAGATAAGGAGAGAGAATTCCAAGCAGGCTCTGCGCTGTCAGCACCAGAGCTTTAAGTGTGGGGCTTAGTCTCAGGAATGATGAGATCATGACCGAGCTGAAATCAAAAGTTGGATGCTTAAATGAGCCACCCAGGCACCTCCAGTAAAACTTAATTAATGGACACTGAAATTTGAATTTTGTAATGTTTTTTGTGTTATAAAAAAAAACACTTCCTCCCAATCATTCTAAGCTTGAAAGCCTTTCGAAAACAAATTGGCAGGCCAAAATTGGCCTGTGAGCTAGAATTTGCCAAGCCCTGTTCTAGAAAATGAAATTCAGGCCGTAAGAATGGTCAGCTCAGGGGCGCCTGGGTGGCTCAGTCGATTGGGCATCTGACATAGGCTCAGGTCATGATTTCATGGTTCGTGACTTCGAGCCCCATGTAGGCCTCTGTGGTGACAGCTCAAAGTCTGGAGCCTGCTTCGGATTCTGTGTCTCCCTCTCTATCTGCCCCTCCCCTGCTCACACACTGTTTAGCTCTCTCAAAAATGAACTAAAATTAAAAAAAAAAATTGACAGCTCATTAGTGACAGGTTCAAGCTAGTTGATACATGTTGGTACATGTCGCTGAAAAATTCCATGTTACCAATACCTTTGCCTTATAGCAAGCGTTTATTATATGGCCTTAAACTCTATCTTTTATTTATTTTTTAATGTTTGTTTTAGAGAGAGAATAAGAGCACAAGCATGAGAGGGAGAGGGGCAGAAAGAGGGAGAGAGAATCCTAAGCAGGCTCCTTGACAGCACAGAGCCTGACCAGAGGCTCCATCCCGTGAACCATGAGATCATGACCTGAGCCAAAATCAAGAAGCAAATGCTTAACAGATTGAGCCACCAGGTGCCCCGGATTCTACCTCTTATAGAGGTATGAAATGACTTGGAATTATCCAGTAGCAGAATAGTTCGCTTTTTGTGTTGGAGTTTGTTGTGTAAACTTTTTGCATGGCTTAACTTTTGTCATAGCAGTTCTCTTCATTTTTAATGTACACCTAAAGGAAAAGCTCCTAAGAAAGAACACCAGTCTTCAGTTTCCAGCAGAGCCTGATCACAGTTTCAGCCCTAGGTAGTGAAACAGAAATGGTCCCTAAGGGAAAGAGGAAAACTTTATGTCCTGAAGTCAGGGCTTAAAATCTGAAATCACTGGATGCTTGGATAGCTCAATCACTTGAACTTCCAACTCTTGATTTAGGCCCAGGTTATGATCCCAGGGTTGTTAGCTCAAGCCCCGTGTTGGGCTTCACACTGAGTGTGGATCCTGCATAAGAGTTTCTCTTTCCTGGCTCACCCTTGATTTTGGCTCAGGTCATGATCTCACAGTTATGGGATCAAGTCCTGTTTGGGATTGAGTCTTCTTCTCAAAATAAATAAATAAAACAAAAAAATAAATAAACTTTAAAAAATACAAAAAAAAAAATCAGGGCACCTGGGTGGTTCAGTCAATTTAGCATTTGATGGCTCAGGTCATAATCTCATGGTTCATGAGTTCAAGCCCTGCATTGGGGCTCTGTGCAGCTGACAGTCTGGAGCCTCTTTGAATTCTCTGTGTGTGTGTGTCTCTCTCTCTAAAAAATAAACATTAAAAAATATTTTTAAATAAAAAAAATTAAAATATAGAACATTAAGTAGATAGATAAATTTTTAAAATCTGGGATCACAAGCTCCTACAGATTGCCTTCCTGACCACTGTCTACCCAGGAGCAGAGAGGGGGCCCCTTTGTTGCTACTTGAAGAAGGATAATTCATTGATGTCTCTGCCTGTTTTCAATACCACAGGAGGTTTCAGTGGCTTAATCATGCACATTAAAATAATTTAATGGAATTTCCTTGTTGATGAGTAGTTAGTCACCTATTACTACTCCCAGTTGAGTTGATTTTTTTTTTTTTTAATTTCCTGGTGAGGAAAGAAAAGATGAAGTGAAACATTTCAAAGTAACTTTATAACCCTGAGCTGCCACCTCCTGTCACAGGTAGCAGTTGGTAGAAGCAGTGCCTCTCTTCACTGCTCTGCTTCAAAGTTTCAAGCCTCAGACCTGTACCATATCAAGAGGAAAAAGTAAAGCGGGATGGGTAGGGAGCTTAAAATATTCCATCCCTGGTGCATATCAATAATTTACTTTTCTTCCTCCAGGGTTGAAATTGTTGTCAATAGACTTTTGAGTTAAAATTTTGGATCATGTCTCAAAATTTTGATCAAGAAAATAAAGCCCCCAAGAAATAAATTCTGCAGGCCCCAAAGGAACATAAAAATGCGGATCAGTGCCTAGGAATTCACACAAAAGAAAACAACTAATTAAGTACTTAAAAGAATGACAATGACTCCTTGAATCTTGTTGCTTAATTAGGGCTTTATGAACAGCTCCAGCTAATGGACCTGTCAATATTCTCTTGGAAAACAATTTCACTGAATTAACAAGTCAACTGTAATACTTAGAATATCTGCTTAGCAATTCTCTTTACTGCTATTTAGAAACAGTAAGGCTGCTTGCTGGGTCATATATTTGTCAGTTTAGTATCCTAAGGCCTGACTCAAAGAAGCCTGTTACTTTGGCCCTCCCTATACTCCAATAAAGGCCCTTGGAGTATGAGAACATTCTGTAATTTTGTTAAGGGTGACTTAACACTACCTCAAAAGAGGCTAATAAAATGGACCTTAAAATAGATTATAGAATAGTTGTAGATTTACAGAAAAGTTATAAAGATGGTACAAAGAGTTCCCATGTACCCCACACCCAGTTTCCTTTCATAAGAACATTTTACATTAGTATATGTTACATTACAAATACAGTTTACATTAGTATTTGTTACAGTTAGTGGGCTAATATGAATATGTTATTAACTAAAGTCCATACTTTGTTCAGATTTCCTTAGATTTTACTTAAATATCTTTTATCTGTTCTAGAATCCCATTGAGGATATTACCTTTAGTTCTATTTCCTTAAGCCCATTTTATCTTTAAATATTTTAATCTTTATTATTTTTGAGAGAGAGCATGAGAAGGGGAGAATGGTCTTAGGGAATGCTCAAGTTCCCAGATAATTGATTTTTACCCTATGAGCTCACAGTAGGGGATGGAAAATTTTAATTTCTTTTTTTTTCCCCCTGAGAGAGAGACACGCAGCATGAGCTGGGGAGGGTCAGAGAGAGAGGGAAATACAGAATCCAAAGCAGGCTCCAGGCTCTGAGCTAGCTGTCAGCACAGAGCCCGACGCGGGGCTCGAACTCACTAACTGTGAGATCATGACCTGAGCTGAAGTCGGCCGCTAAACCGACTGAGCCACCCAGGGGCCTGAGGATGGGAATTTTTATCAGCTGACTTTAGAAGGGAATAGCCAAGCCCAGGCCCTAGTGTTAATGGGCTGGAGTGTGGAGATGACCTCAAGGCATAAAGCCTAGGATTTATAACTTGGGCTTCACCTGAGTGTTAAGTGGTAGAACTTCCTCCTCCTGAGTTGTAATTCTCTAGAGGAGAACTCCAGGGGCTAAGTAAGGTTGCAATATGCTGGCCACCCCTGCCCGTGAAAGGTTTGATGTGAAGTAGCGAAAATGAGGGGGTAAAGGCAGAGTAGAAAACTTACATCTTAAGTTCTACTATCTCTATGCTCCTGTCACTCTGCCCTTTTCTACACTAGGTTTCCATTTCCTGCCCCTGTATAATAGGACGTAATCATGATCTGTTCCTCCAAGGAATCTTCATACTTAATTTCTCAGATCCCTAACTTC